TTTGTTATGGGGTATTTCAAAATAAACCACGAAACACCTGACTTTATTTGCTGAATCGCTTTACTTCAGGCTTTCACGTCAGTAGAATAACAGTATTTTCTAAGTGCCGCCAGCAACTCTTAATTTTGGCCGTCAATTTATTATCATGCCAAACATTTTTAGATATCCTACTAAAAAAATGGCTGTATTAGTTACTGCCAAATCGTTCGCGACTTATTTTTACGGTATTTAATGGAAACTGGCCATTTTGTGTCGCCATCTGGCTGCGAATATTTGCTTTAAGTTATAACTCTCGCATTCAAGCATTGCATTGCCCTGACAACGCCAGTTTTAAACTTACAGCAAACCTTGCACAAATTCCCGTTTTTTGCTCTGTGAATTGCGACGTTGCCAAAAGCAAACTGACCTGTTTCCATAAAAAAAAATTGTGGCAACATTTCTTACCTGATGACGATTTTGTAATCATTAATAGCGTACGAACTAGTTTTTAAAAAAAATTGAACATTTTAATTTTTCTAGCACATTTTTCTTCAAATCATTCGATTTTAACAGTGAGATTCAACCTTACCGATCAACCTGACTAATGTTTATGACTCCAGTTTAGCCAAGCCTCATATGATTTCCTTGTGGCAAATGTAAAAATGGTTTATTAATATAACTATCACTGCCAATGAAGTTTCCATGTCTTAGGAATAAGGCTGCAAAATAAGGCATTGCACGAAAATAAGGTAAATTTGAGGATCCACGTTTGTTGTCTTTAACAAAATTCATTACCAGGAAATATACCCATCGTAAACATTTCGTCTTTTATGTGCCAAATTGCACCTGCTTACTCCACACAAACTGTTTCACGTTTTGGCACAATTTAGCAACTAGTGCCTTTTAGAGACATGGTCAATATGTTGCAAGGTGATTCTTGTCGCTCGTGAACATATCCAGGGAAGTTATTTGCTTGATTTGTACTCACAAATGAATCATGGAAACAACCGCATTAAGAATTCCATTAAAATAAAAGGCCAGCAAAACACGTTTTTTTAGTCCACTGCCTAAACATCTCTTTTTGTCAGAGCCTGATCCAGTTTCGAAGGCTAACAGTTTATTAACCAAGATCTTTTATGTCTTCAGAGTCATTTAAGGTGACTGTTTAAAGGCAAAAATCTAAAATTATTTTAGCTGGTAATTCACAACGCCCGTGGTCGTATGCTAACTGCCATTATTTTTCTCAAAATCGGACGTGAATATAAGGCAAGACGATTTAAAGCATTGCACATAGGATAAAATAAAATGCATTTAACAACCGTTTAAATCAAATTTTATTCAGAATTATGTTAATTAATCCTGTTTTGTAGGGCACATGATGAACTTTCACTGAATTAGGCGTGTTTAGATGTCAAAAGAAAAGTCTATCACATTGATGAAAGTGCATCATTAATCGAAAGAATATAACAAATGCTTGGCACACGTTTCTTGTGAAGTTCATTGCAGGTCTCAAATGCCCCATAAATATCAGTAATGTCTTTCAAACATCAATTTTATTCACGATGCTAATTTTTTCAAGCAGACACCAAAATTAGAACACTTTGCGAACAAACAGGTTAGAGTGTGTTTGAAAAGTTTTATTTTGGGGGTTAGGTGAAAGTCTCGGGCTGACAGACACATGTGGATATTATATCATCCAAAACGACCAAAGCGTTCATTGGCGCTGCCTTGAACAACATTTGGACAAAAAGAGGAAGCCGATTTTGAGATCAACGTAGCGAAATGCACAACTGATTGATTTGTTTCCCAAATATCAGGAAGTTGGTCATATTATGCAATGCAAATGACCTTAAACAAGAAGACGGCGTTCGGTATAGGGCGTCGTTCTTCATGCAGGTGGCACATGATGTTGTCGGCAACAAGTCGTAAATTTGTTTTCTCCTGTCAAATTGCCATTTTGTCGAATCATTGGCTTGTGCGGTTAAGGCCTCTAAAGGCGTTTGCTAATGCCAAATTTGTCATAGAACGTGAATGGGGAAGATTTCGCTAGTGTCAGAAATAATGCGCCCAGTTTTGCACTACGCTAGGTTGAATGTGGTTGGTTGTTTACTTTTGATTTCTATCAAAAATACTAAACACTGAGTTTGATTACTGTACTCATACATGAGCAGAAATGTAGGCGTTTCCTGTGATTTACACAAAAATTTTAAACACATTATCTGGACAGAAGTTTACACGCTCTCTGTAGTTCCGTCTACTACTGATGCTGATTTAGTAGAACAACTTCAATAGCGGTTTATTCTTTATAATTGATAATTTTCTCTGTATCCTTGTTTTATAATATCAATCGACTCTTTGAACAACGTAAGTAAGTTTACACAAGGATTAGGCATGTTACAAAAGTCAGTTTACTGAATACACGCAGGTAAATGTGTACAGAGTAATTGAATTCTGAGTGGGAATCTTCAGGGATCAGCTTGTTTACTGAACAATCTGCAGGCAGTGCTTAACGTTGACTATTTACTGACTTACTCGAGTGCCGAGTAGCAAGTGGTTTTGGAGAATCTGATTCCTCAAAAGTGTGTGGAATATTTCTTTGCAGCAGGAGTCAGTAAAGAATCGGCTTCATATGTTTCTTACCAGCGTACAAATGAACAGAAGTGTATTTTAGTAACTATTTTCGTTGTGATTTACGTTGAAACAGTAGGTGGAAGCATAACCATATAGTCACTAGGCTAAAATGTCGTCAAATTTGTATATTTGCGATTTACTAGTAAAGCATTAAAGCTGCTGCATATATTATCAAGTCTCAATAACACATGTACATTTATTTGGATAATTAGGGGCAATCGAAGCTGAAGAAATGTTTTAATTCTGCTCTCGTCATCGTGTGAACTTAGCTAAATTCCCATTATTGAAAAGTAAAGACCATGTTTAAAATTTGGCTTCTCCAGTTGGGCTTTAAATCACGAAATGGGCAGTTTTATGGTGTCGAGTGATTAAATGTTAATTCACAGGAAAAAAAAGCATTAAAAATGTTTAAACTGAAGATTCAGCTAATTTTTTTCTCAGTGCTATGTTTTCAGAAGCAGCATGTCCTCTTTGTTTGCAAACTCTTGCTTGTTATTAACAGCGTCTCCATCATTAGGCGAATTCCCAGAGTCAGCTGTCATTATTTAATTGCTGTTTGTGAAAACAGGGAAGTTAGTCAGATTTCCTAACGTTGCTAGTTGTATTGCAAAAACAGGCAGGCGTCTTGGCGAGCAAACGTCTACTTAAAACAAAACAATTCAACCTAGCAAAATATGGTGTTTAATTAGGTCAAATCAGTTATGAAGATGCTGGTTTGTAGGTCCCAATTAAATACTACATGGTGAATTTGTGGACAATTTCAAAGGCTCATGATTTGTTGCACTGACTAGCCAATTTGACCAAACACATCGAATTCGTGACTTGAGCAAGAACAAAATCTTGTGTGTGTTGCTCAATTTGAATTGGTCTCAGTGACTACCTTAGGTGAAGCCATTTACATTTAAGTATTTTCCTCTGATACAACTCTGATACAACTTCTTGCAATAACTCTGAGGTGTCTAATGTGAAGAAAAAAATATTTTAATTTGTTTCATAGTTGTTTATTCACTAATGCAAACCATGGATATGCTGAATAATTTCCAACTGACACTAAGTAATGGGTGCTTGAACATTCTAATGCTGACGTGTGTGTTCCTGCCTATTGTCGTAGATAAGGTAAAACGGTTTAGTTTAAATCAGCTGAGTCATGTGGAAGAACAGAATTAACAGAATTCCTGCACTGTTTTTCTTCTTATTTGGTGCAGATTTATCGAGCACGTCTTTTTCTAAGTTTAATAGTCTATTGTTAAGATAATTTATGAAATACGAGCAATTCAAACATTCGCCCGTTGAAATTTCCCAACAGTACCTTTTCTTTTTATAAAACGAATTCACTATTTATACGCAGCTACTGGCAACCAAACAGCCATCTCTGTGCTTCGTGTTTTATGTTATCTCAGTGCATTCATTTTGTATCAGAACACAAAAAAACACTAACATTTGCATATGGAATGGAAAAGCGTTGAATTGGAATGCTAGTTTGTAGTGATTTGTCTTTTCATGGCAGTTTATCTTTCGACTTTCCAGCATATGTAATTCGACAACAGGTCATGGCTCCAGGATACAAAATGGTTCAGGTGTCAGTCAAATTAAACAAACAAAATCTGAAAAACGAGGATAAATGAACGAATCAACCACTTTACTTATTATTTTTCAAATCGTTGGGCCATTTGATATATTGTAATCATTTCGACATACCTTCAGATAGGCATATCATTGGAATAAAATGTTTAATATTTGGCAGTTTGACAAAATTCAACATTTCAAAGAACAAAATATTGTTTTCTATGTATTCAGCAACAGTTTTAATTTTTGTTTCTTTTTTTAAAAAAAGTCCTTTATTAAAGACCTATAATACTTAATCGGATAACTGTACAAATTGACTGAACAGAAAATAATTTCAACCTCTTTGACACTTAGCAAACAATTTTCTAATTATTCGAATGCTTCAAGCTGTCTGACACTTACTTATAGTTCTGATATTTACAGAATTGGTCATAAATATTTTCTTAAATTCTGTTATTTTAAATCGTTGGGCATTCCAGAAGAAACGACAGTCTCTGAATCAGAAACAAAGGCTTCTTTATTAGATGACTAACTCGAGTGGTCTACTTTTTTATTTGATTTCAACCTTGTGGTGATTCACATTTGTGGATGTAGGAATGCCAATTAGGAATATCTGAGTTCGGAGAACCAATGACCTGCCAAAGTGCTGATTTACTTATCTGCCGATTGGGTGTTGACGTTTTTTGCATGTAGTCTGAGTATATAAATTGCGGGAAAGCACACATACTTGTCCCAGCATCGAATTCTCTTTAAGGTGGATAAGAGGTATCTCGCCAAAAATCTGAAGTAAGATGTTGGCACATTAAGTGTACTTGCTTGTAGGAATGAAACAGGGCATTGTCTGTCTTCTTGCACTGTTATGCTACGCAGCGGCCAGGGTTCCGTCGCAAGACGAGCGCCATTTGATTGTGGAAGCACATAACAAGATCCGCGGAGGCGTCAGCCCCAGTGCCAGTGACATGAAAATGATGGTGCGTCATAGCATTAAGGCTTGGTTGACTTATCCTATTTCACAATTACTATACTGTGGTACTTATTCTTTCAATTGTTGGTGTGGTCAGTTACTTGTTTGTAAGTATGTTACAATGTCATTCGGACAATTTCCTGTACCTTTTACAACGAACGCGTATGCATTTATCATGGCTTTCACACATTCAATTAGTGTGTAACTCAAAGTGTCAAATAGTGTATCAATTTGGAGCAGCGACTATAGGCATAATTTATTGTCAGGCATTCAATGTGCTCATGTTGTTATTTAGAAATACTCAACAAAACTGGAAAAAAAGGTAGAAAAGTCTCTGACTGCGTGCGTCTTTGAGGAATATATTGTCACCGCGTACAGTAATAAGAAAATACAGAACCTGCGCATGTTCATCGACGAAGAGCCTACCTTTGCAAAAATGATCTATGCGTTTGCACAGGATGCACAGTTTTATGACTTTGAAAACAATACGTGTACCAAAGAATGCAGTGAATACAAACGGGTAAGTAATCCTAAACCTGGGCAAATATTGATTCACGAATGCTTCATCAATTTGTCCTTTGTCCTTTATTATACTATGGAAACGTAAAACTTTGTATAAACTGGAGTGTGAATAAGCAACAATAATGCCTATGTACTTTGTTATACGTGCTGTTGCTAAAGCGATAGAAGTAGTTGTTTTCCTTGAAAGAAACAAACCCCTATTTTATACTACTGTCCTAAATCAAAGATTAATAGAACCAGGTTATAATTTATAGTGATACTCAAATGTTTAACTCCGGTTCTTGTGTGATCATTGGTGCAGTGATGTTACATGATCCTTTGTACTGATAATCACAACCATGCCATGGAAGTAGCGCTAAAGATTACTTCCTTAACTAGTGTACTTTCTTTACAGATTGTATGGGCCAATTCCACCAGGGTTGGATGTGCAATGCATAAATGCGGAGCATATGGCCCTAGGCACCAGCACCCTGTCTACACTGTGGTTTGTCAGTACGATCCAATGTAAGTCAAAGTGATAAAGTATCATATAAGTCAGTGGCAAATGAATTATATAGCTGCAGGACACTAGTTGAGGCACAAAAGTGTCAAGATACTTGTTTGACAAGTTCACCGTTGCTGTAAATCAAGAAGCAGCATGTTTGCCTTTTTGTTCCTGTATCTTGACGGAAGAATCCAGCACATATTTGACGATTGTCTGTAAATATTATGTCGTGTTATTTTTGTGCATGTTTTTATTTTAAGAGATGAAATTAAGGAGAAGAGACCATACCAAAAGGGTCCCAGTTGCAGCAAGTGTCCTCCTGGATACAAGTGTCGTCAGAATCTGTGTGTCGAAACGCACGAGACAGGAACAGATGTGGGGAACAGCACTCAGATAACCACAACCGATTCGTTGTAATACACCAGTGCAGGGAGACGTCTAATGAAAACACCTATGCTTTAAGTACTGTTGCCAACTTTAACTCATACTTCTGCCCAAGCTGACTCTTTGGTTTTACATTTCGAAATTCTTGTCATTAATAAAATACTTGTGTTTTTCTCTTTTGCCTGGAAGTATGCATTTCGTAGTCGTGTTTCATTTCATGCAAACTGTTAGTTGCCTTATTTAGGAAAAATCTACAATTCAACTGCTAAAGTAATGCTAAATAAAAACCATATTTCACCAAGTGGAAAGCAAAATTTATGTTATAACCGGTGTGATACTTATGTTATACTTATGGTGTGAAGTGTTCAGCAGCATACGCAGAGTATTTTCAAACTCAAATTTTGGATGGTGTTTTATTAGTGGTAAACTGTGCAAAATTATACCTAGAATAAGGGGTAGTGAATGTAATACTGGCTTTTCTTGACCAGATGCTTGCAGTTGAATGAGCAAAAAGTTCATTTCAGTGAAGTGTCACCCGTTCAATTGCTCGGCTTCTTCGTAGTTTAAGTGTCATCGTCGAATGATGGTGCTTACCGAAATTAACAGTTTCTGTATAAGTACGTACTTTTAGTTAATCGAATATAATGTTCAAGCATGACACTCTAGTTAATATAAATTCTGTCCACCGTCTACAATCAGCAACATATTCCTAATAATTCTGAATCGGCATCCTCATTCAAGAAAATGTCATTCTCCAATGCATGTCCTTTTGACTAATTTAGTCACAGTACATGTTTCTTGTTTTCTTGGAATAAGGAAACGGTATCTCCGAAATGTCGTTTGTGTACTTACATTTTAAGCTTTTATTTTGATAACAGTCATAATACTATTTCGGCATGAATATTTCCTTCCTATCAACCTTGCATCAGCTAGAATGTGTAGTGTAATCCTACTTTCTACTCTGAAAATCTGTTGTGGTGGAGTAAACACGCGTTTCCAAACCTTTTTTTCACTAAAAATACTAAAGGACCACCATTTCTGAAGATACCAATTGAACACACAAATAGGCTAGTTCTTTCCCTATCATACACTCTGAGGTCAAATTACGTTTTAACGCAAAGTTAACATGAGTGATGCGGGAACGTTTTTGTGAAAAGAACTTATAATGTATTGCAGAAAACCATTCGTTAGTAGAATTGCGTATTAGGCTCGAAGTTGTTAAAGACCGGCAAACAAGAATAAACAAATAAATGCAAGATTAAATTGAATCTCAATTTTACGATTGTAGAACTAACACTAGCGATTATCATTTGTGGGTGCTAAAATGCGTTGATTCTTTTATGATGTATTGGGAATTCTCACGATTACCGTTAACCAGCAAACAGTATTTGCAACAGGCTGATAGTTCCGAAATCATATATGCTGTTGGAAAAATCGGACATAAAAGCATGAAAAGGCTAAAGACAGGTCACTGTAGTAAAAATGACCACGGCTCGGCAATATGTTTTTTTGCCGGTAGCTATGTTCTCCTGTGTTTAATTTAGATCTATTTGAAAACGCTGATGCAAGGACATTTTGCGTTTCACCACATAAAGTCCATTCTATCTTGAATTAGCCCCTCGTCACCATGCACCTAATATCAAGACGTAAAACTAGGTGCTATAATTGACACAGTCAAGCGCTGGGTATTATCACCAAATATATCTTTTGTGCTCTTGAAAGGATTACGACAAATGCATATGAGTTATCTAACTATCAACTTTTTCGATTGCAGCTGATCAGCCGCACACTTAGCACTGCATTTCACACATTCCAACAAGCAGAAATGCTACCAAAACACGAGAAGCAGATAGTAGTGTTCTTAGTGTCGGCATCGTTATTCTTAGCACAAACATTTCACGGGAAATGGTTTCAATCTTAGTGATCTGCCACACCAAACCGATTAAAAATGTTTGGAAACCTCACGTAAATGCATAAGGACCTAGCAGTTCAGGTAGGAGTCACCTAAGTAACTCTGTTCAAGCGTTTACACCAAATAGGAAAATTTAAAAAAAAACCTAGAAGATGAGTTTAACATGTGATGACTGTTCATAACCTAAGTAAACGTATTAACAACTGCCTTGACTGCATTCCTTTTTAGGATCCAACCTAATGTATCGTGTCCTACAAAAATGATCCCTTCATGTTTCAAAGTTGTGACCGTTAGGGACACAGTTAAATGAGGTAAATATGCGTGCTATTAAAAAAGCCCACTATGGAATGGTTTGCGATTTTCGACGTGTGACATTTGCTATAGCGAAGTCAATAGTTAGGGTTACCTTGTGTTCTTATATGTATTCACGCAACACAATTTTAAATCTTGATGTATTTTATACGTAGGAATATCTACTGAAGGGGGGAAACAAAAATGACATTTGACAATGTTTCAGTAGCATTCTAAATCGATGCACTACTCTACTTGATCGTTAGGCTTTTCTCAAGAAGAAGGCATTTCTGTATAATCTGAGCCTAAATATTCTGTGAACTTTTCCGAGAATATTCCAATGTAGGTTTTGTCGGTACCAAGATGCAAGATAATGATAAATGGCACAATTTTGAGAAGCAACAGGCCTGGAAATACAAAAGTCAGTAACTTATCAACTTGAGGATGGGCAGTATCAGATTTCCTGGGCCAGACTGCTTGGAATTGAAGTGATGGGCATATAGGGAACAAGGCACTCTCCATGACGGTTCATTGACAGTTGTGATTTTTAAGTAGCCTGCAAAACCGCGCCAATACAGTTGACCAATTGTCCACGTCAACCCACGGACAAATAAGTAATTCTTTATTCGCCTCATTTAATCAGAGAAACGTCGCCCATGACCTTTGGATCTGCAAACTCTGCCTTCTCACAAGTTGTCTCTAGCACCTGTTATTTAAGCATGCTGTCCAGGTTCCTAAAAAATGTAGTCTTTACATGAGAAAAAACGTCATGATAGGTAATGCGTCAGTCAAGTATTTATGTGAAATAATCCACTAGTCCATTATGAAGTTTGAAAAAAGATTACCACGAACATTCATTGGATGGCATATTTCCCATTTCCACCACAAATCACAAATCATCCATGCACCAGGTAAATTAGCTTTGTAGCCTTGTCCGAATAAACGCGATTTCAGGTTTTAGCTGTCGTTCAAAGCATTTATATAGTTTTACAGAACCGCGTTATATATTGCTACAGATGGATCATTATACAAACATCGTACATGTTGAATATCTTCAGTTAATTGCGATAAATATTTGGTTGTATTGTCAGGATGCAGATTCGATTGTCTCGTTAAAGGACACTACCACCTTCTATATCAGTAGTCATTTAAGTACTTTATTTAAGGTTTTGTTGGTTCAAGCCGAGAGCTTTCGTAAAACCTACGTAAACATGTGTAGTGTAAGAAAATATAGCCTATCGGAAGCACTGTGCATGTGTCAACTCAATGGATTTGAATTTGCTTCCTGTTTTAAACGGTTTTATGATCTTAGCAGAATTGTGGTTATATATTTTGAAGTTTGGACACACAGATTGACAGTGCCATGCTACACATCCTGCTTCGTCGAAGGTGCTTTAAATGACGCCAAGAATCACTGGCTTCCTTTAGAGCTCAACCACGTTGGTGTCGTGTGTGGGGTTGCGCGTGTGTTTTATACCTGGGATGTGTGAGTTATTCATGCGCTAACATTGAGACCTAGGTGTGAGGGTAATCCATGATAAATATCCGTGTGAATGAGTAGGGAGTTGAGGATCCGCGTGGCCGGCGACATGCTGCGAAAGGGGGAACCCTGTGTCGGAGGTGGAGCGACCGGATTAAGGGGTGTGAATGAACATGAGTTACAATACTATCTATATGGGAACTAAAATATATACAAATCGATTTCAAAATCAAAAGTAAATCGGATTGAGAACTTGGACCCTAGGAAAACTTCGACTCAGAATATCATACAAATATGATGAAAATTAAAAATTTGTGATAATGATACTAAATACTTAAAAATAAGAAAATATGTAAGCAGTGCATGGCAAAAACCAATTCCAGTTCAAGAAATTGCGGGGAAGAAAAATCAACCGGTTCTACAAACGTAGGCCACATTCCTAGAATTTTGCGGAATTGGTCAGCATAAACAGGCAAACTTTCACACGAATGCGAATATTTAACGGTGGGAATTTTTAAGGGCCATCGGCCTTACAAAATAAGCACAGTTGTAATTTAATCAGGTTTACGACCTTATTTGTGTAGTCTCATGTTTTGTTCGCATTTTTGATCACTTTTATTTCGGTTTGAATCTCTGGGAAATAACACTGATATTTACCACTTCCTCCGTGTGAAAATTTAGAATCTACGGACTATCTCACAATCATACCATTTACTGGAAAAATTAGCAATCAGATAATCTCATTTGCAGTAAAATTCAGTTGATGTTTTAGGCTGAATTATTTTACAACATTCGCTTATAAAACACTAACGCCACATATAAATTGATTACAATCGAGCAGGTGACCGAATCAAGATGCGTCCTTGGTTGGTGTAACCACACACTGATGAAATAAGTCTGGGCTGTGATGTACTATTCCCTGTATCCAACTTACACAACTTAAAAATACTTGAGGCCATCAAGTTTCGATGTAAAATAAGACAGGAGTAATACTTAACCAAAATACACCCCTATTCCATGTTTTAGAATAGGATAACGTGAGATCTTGTTGAATTGTTTGGGCTCCAGGATTTTTCAAGATCACTCATTGCCACTTTTCAACTTTGTTTGCACTAATCATCTAATCCTGTGCCTCAACGGAAAGGTCACCTTCTACAACCTGCTGACAGCTCTATTGGTGTAAATCCTCTTTCATCCACCAGGACATGGTCACTCGTGATTTCTGTGTTGATATTCAGCCAAATCAGTTGGCTTTTGTCTGAGGCACTAAAGTTCTCTGCACGAGAGCATGCCTTGTCTTTGATAGAAGAGGCACAGTGGGGAACCAGCGTCTGATAAGTCATTTGGGGTATCAATTATCTGGGGAGCGTGTGATTTTGGTTGCAGGCAAAACGCAGCAATTGGCAATGCAGGTGAGATTGGCGATGAAGGGATGGAACAATTACTCCAGCGGCTGGTGTCGAATATGGCAGATCGCGAGAGTCTGCTCAGTATGCTGTCACTTAACGGCCTCGATACCAGTATTTCACTGAAATCTGCGGCGAGCCTTCAAGCGAACGTACTTAGCGATCGTGAGCGAAGACGATTCAATCGATTTGCTTGAATGCACTTCATGTAGTGTTAGTTTTGAGATCGATGTCTGGCGAACGTATCTAAACCTACCTGTTATTCTGTACCACACCCTACTCCTAATGCGGCAATAATTAGTTGATTTTTATGCAACCTTCATTCTCTACTCTTTCTCTCGGGCGGGCCTCGTCAGTGCAGTTTGTCGGCCCTGATGTGGTTCCCCACAATCCGATGGAAGATCACTGCTACAAATCTAATGGGAGATCACTGCAGCATACCATCCGCCAAATCCAAGGTAGATGGTCCAAGCGTTCACTCACCGCGAACCTCAGGCCTTTTTTCACTGTACGCAATCTCTCCGCCTTGAAAACGGTTGCTTTGTATCCAGAGAAGGAATCATCGTGCCCAAATCCCTTGTATTACTGGTCCTTTGCAAAGAACATTCTGAGCACCCCATCATCTGCCATACGAAGTCGGTCCCAAGCACCTAAGTCTATCCGACACACATAGACCAACAAATGTCAGACCTTTTTTTTTAAAAAAATGCCTCAAGTCCAGGCTGTCACCATGATTTTCTCGTGAACTTCTGCAGTCAGTATATCCCGAAAACGCAAGCACGTATTTCCTATTTGCCGGAAATTTGCCAAGCCATTAAAGGTTGGATCTACTGGGGATGCATGGAATTACCAACCTGATAGCAGTCCAGTCATTTGAGAAACGATAACAGGCTGGCTCAAAGGAAACACTTTCTACATGAAGATATTGCACACCACATAAATCAGACACTAGACACAACTCCACCGAAGTGTGATTTTTGAGTTATTTAAAGCAAAGATTTGAGCCGCCAGGGCTGTGAAGTCTTTTTTGTCAACCGCTCAATTAAGTTGCTCAAACAATATGAATGCTATTTGGAATATAAACAGCAATATGACCTTGGTTTTCGAAAAAAAATATTGCCAGTCAAATGCGAGCATTTTAACTACTTATAGAACCTGGCTGTCCACCATCCTTTTTCGTGTGTCTGTGTTTCAACCTGCTGCGCTATCATAGAAAATTCATTTGCTGTTTACAGCTCAGTCATGAAGCTTTATACTTTATGCTCGAATAAGACTCCAGCAGGTCTAACCTGTTCCTACAGATTTTTTTGAGCTTAAAATGTGAATAATGGACATTTTAGCAAGAAAAGAAATGCAACACGAAGGCTTCATATTGTCTGGATACGAGACAATGACACCATCTGATTAATAACTACGACAAATGGGAATGCAAAAATTTGCATCCTAGTCAAAGGAACCCTACATAAGCACCAATTCCACTGACAAATTACAGGCCATCCGTGTAATTAATTAGATTACCAACAGAGTCTTAAACTGGGTGTCAATCTTGAATGTCATGATATCCCCATATACTTTAGCTTTCAATAAACCCTTCCCCCGAAAAACAAAATCCGAAAACAGAAATTTAATTGGTTCTCTAACGCATTTTAATTTGATTGGTAGCAAAGTGCTCAGATCGATTCATAGGCCAATATATTGCTCTTCAACACTGGCAAGAGTCGTGTTGAGACCCTGCCTCAGAGTGTAAGTTAATATCATTGATATTTGTTGTATGCAAAGTTTACCTATATGACGTTTATTTGCAGATTTGTAGAAATGATGCATATACTAATGTGCATTATTGCAATGAGTTGGCAAGCAGCCGCCACAGTGCCATCTGTCGCAGAACGTGAGGCTATTTTGGAAGTTCATGCGTACGTTCGTCAGCACGTCGACCCACCTTCCAAAAATATGCGACTACTGGTGCGTCAATCATTTATTTTGCATCAGATCGCCAGGTAGTTTTTAGGGTTTGTTTGCCAGTTAGCTATTGTGATAACTTAATGCAGTAATGTAAATTCTTTTACAGCAACGTCCGGAAATTTGTCAGGTGTACGTTCCCCTAAATATAGCTAAGAAAACCTTTTAAACATAATTATTGCTCTTAATGATGTAAAAATTTATCAGGCAGGCAAACCACTATTAAAAGCAAGAATCAGCCAATAAATATGCTAAATGGATAAGTGGCATTATATAATTTAGAAATATTCAGAGACAATGGAAGACCTGGCTGACAAATGGGCGGCTATATGCATCTCAAGAAAACCAGATCCTTCACTCTACAAAGACTATGCAGGCACTGCCCAGGTTCTGACTGTTAGTCATGAACCTCAACTAACATTTACGAAAGCTATTTCCGCTGTTAAAGATGAGGCACGACATTATGAATACCGGGACAATACGTGTACTGGTGAATGCGACTTTTATAAGCAGGTATGTTTAATGCTTAAAGCTTTCTAAATGTTTATCGGTCTCCGTTATAAAGCAGCATAGCACAAAATAGTTGGCAGTAGGCAGTTTGTTTCATAAACAAGGCATATTGATTGAAAAGGATGTGTTTTTGGTATGTTTTGACATTTTTGTTGAAATTCTTTTTATGGAATGTTAAAAGTAGGGCAACAGATAATTGCACTTAATTAGCAGCTAGGGCAAAGCTTATGGGTCTATGCTAAAGCGGTCGGCTACAGAAGTAAACAAGAGTCAAAATATATGTTTTCCTTTCTGATTTTATATGCATTCCATTTCATATGCTTTTCTGTAGATCATATGGGCTAATTTGACAGAAGTTGGTTGCGCAATGAAAACGTGCGTAAAGTATGTGCAGCGCAAAGAAACGCCGGCCCATGTCATGGTCTGTGTGTATAAAATTGCGTAAGTCATGATTACCTTATTTGGTTCTTAAACCGAACCGTGCAGCATGAAACGAGGGATCTATTGATATTCCACAGCTATTGTTGTTCATTAGAATCAGCTTAAAAAATAATGGTGAACTATTTGTTGTGACAGAAATTCAGTTCTTCCAGATCGTGTGCTAGCGTAATATATGCGTATGTCATTAAGAATAAATTTGCAACAGGCGTTAGCAGTTACCAAGCCCACATTGCAAATTATTAATTTTATGTTTACAGACAAAGGATTGACGACTTGAAGCCGTACGAAGAGGGAGATAGCTGCACAAAATGTCCTCCTCAACATAGATGCGTTCGCAACCAATGTGCGGAAGATCTCGAACAGGTTGGGGTTACAACGAGAAATTCGCAGACATCCTGGTTGATTTCTAAAAGTCCACTTTCAATGGGAATGCTTTATTTGACTAAAAACGTGCTCTTAATTTTTCAACTTTACTATGCCCCGATGTGGATTGAATTTAAAAAAAAAACAAGTTTCTTTCACAAGCATTCTTCTTTGCTGTCCCAGCAACGTGGATATTAGACTGAGATTGGGTTTAAACAATTAAATTTTAGGGAGATTTGGCGTAATTGGTTGAGAGATAGATAGGTAGATATGAAGGACAACACTTATATTAGACATGCAGATCAAAGTGAAATTTTTGGAGTTTAAATTGCACATTTCCACAGGTGAAATTTACCGCAAGCCATCAGTATTTCCAGAAACGAGTATCTTTTTAAGCTAAGACAATATTCGCTTCTATCAATCTTCTTTTTAAAAACATAAGAACGTGAGTAGACTCAATGCAGTGGTCGTGCAGTGAAGCTGGTAGAAGAAGTATAGTTTATGTTTTATGGCATTTATTTCCGATGCCCATTTTAAATTGAGTCTTTAACAAAGCAGAAGGTTGAAAAGTTTTTTTTTCTGTAACGAAGCTTCATGGATTACAAAATTTTACATACTAAAAAGAAACCATACACTACTTCAAGGCCGTTTTGGAAAGGCATAGCAACCAATGCTGAGTTGGCAATGAGATTTTTTTATGTTGCTCTTTATTTCTTTTATTGCGTATTACTGATTGCAGAGCTAAACATTCTCTTCACATTTTATTTGAAAAACGTAACGCTGCTATTTTTACTATACATGAAATATCTACACAGAGATTAGATTACATTAATATTTATAATGAAACGGAGACCGGATTTGCATAATGCATGAGACGAATACAGCAAATTCGCTTTACTTGGTTTAAATCGTTTTACCTTCTTAATAGGCATTTAAGGGGCTTACCATTAAGTGAGCAAAGATCAAACAAAAAAAGCCACAAATCTTGTATAATTCTGCAAAGAAGAGATTTATGAAAACTGTATTCCCAATTCTAATTATAACAGCAATGGAATAACTACGTAAAATGAATGCCTGATCAAATGTAAAATTGGCATAGACACCACAAACCTGCTAAAATGTTGAACTTAATTTGAATATGCAGCATTTCATTTTATCAGCAGAAGACAAATTGTTGTTTGCAATAGACAATCTACTTCTATTGTTTTGAAATGCAATACTGCAAAAGCAGCCAAGCTTCCTTGCTTTTTATTACCATGGACATATTTACGTGAAACCTCAGCTGATGTATCTAATATAAGTGTCTGGCTTATTTCAAGCTATTAAAAACTGCCTAAATATCATACCATAATAACAGGTTATGGTTACGGTAAGAAAAGCACCTTTGTAATGACGCTTAGTTTATTTTCATTGCTTGCAATTTTGAAAGAAATATGCTTGGGGCATTTTATAGAATGCATATCGAAAATAAGGCAAAAATGACTCGCGATTAGGTATGGCAATCGCAGACTGGAAAGAAAAAAATCATTTAATTTTTTCGACACATTTGGGTCTAGAAAAGGCATTTATCACACCTGCTGGGCTTGATTAAATACTACTATGAGAGTCTTGTAGAAAACAGAATTACATTGTTTATGCGATGTGGCAGCTGTGCGATCATAAGAACAACCGTGAAATTTGATGATAAACGATTTGCCGAAACATGTTACCTTTCCTGGTTGCCTGTTTTATTTTAATAAAGAAGACATGTTTCCTTTGACCTAGAACTACCCGAGTCTTTTGAAAAGTAGAGGTTTTTGATGATGCAATGCTGCTGATTTTAAAAAGCTTCATATTTTTTAGGCAATTCTGGCCACACAATGAAATAAAACCAGTAATTTGGTCAGGGCTAAGATCTCATATTACATTAAATAACATGTTAAATTTTTTAAAGATATGGTAAATGCATTTATATACAAATTTCAAACAGTCGTTTAGATTTGATTTTAATATTTCTTTGGCCTGCCAATTACTAGTCACTTTTAATGATACCACTTAGAAGTGAAATACATTATTCTCGATTCTAACTGTATTTCCCATGTGGCTACAATGAGTGAATAACTTTGTTAGATTTATAAATAGACATGGAATTTGCAGGTACCTGTAAAGCGCAGTAGAAATTTTCCTAGCTGTGTTAAAGAAAATTCAGGTGTCAAAATTTGAAATGTATCATTTCTGTGACACTATGGCATATTGTGTTATATGGTATGGAAGGTTTAGCATTTGCGCATTTTTTCGTGTCTTAGCTATGGACACACAAAAAAACGCATTGCTACACGCTAATTAAGCTAATATAATATTACCATAAAGTCGTGTATTGTTAGTTAGGTGATTTCGTGTAGCTTACTTTCACCGGCTATAGAAACATTTTGTATTGGCCATTTTCAAGAAACGGGAAAATCGAATTTTTAATGAGGATTTACAGTTTAGACTACTTTTTACAGGCTGGCTACACTGTAAAAACTCGGTATAATGAAGAAAGATGAGGACTTACAATTAAAAACCCTAGTACACCGATACTAAACCAAAGACTTAAATAATCCAGATATTATTTGCGTTTAGATTAAGCTTTTTTATATCTTGTATAAAATAAAAATAATTACAAAACGGATTATCAAAAGTAGGATTAAATGGCTCGATTAGGCGTTGAAAAAATTTAACTATACCAGAGAAATGTGAGTTCGTTTCTGCTAAGGCAATTTTTATACCTTGCTTGGTTGAAACTATTCACCTAACCGTAAGTAAAATCATTAGCAGTACAGAAGAAATTTAATTGGTCCTTGAGTCTAACAGTTTGCCGTAATTGGTAATTAAGAGCCC